AAGGACAAGTTTGCCATGGTTTGTCGCGTTTCCTTGTGTCGAGCAGTAAAATAATAATAGCAGGACAAGGTAGCGGTTTGCCCAAGGATTTTTAAAAAGGTGCATTCCTGATAAAGGGTCTTGCGCCCACTGTTGTCGACCTATGTATTTTGAAACCTTTTTCTGTGTCCACGGTCTAACGGGCTCTGACCTCGTACACGAACATACCCGAACAGCGCCCTCAATACCACATCTCATCCAAAGTTCAGAGTTTTTGAAGCTCGATTTGAAACAGAAAAATGCAACAGAACACCGTTCACTTTTAAAAGGGAGAGGCAAAAATTTGGATGTAATTATAAAGGAAACCATAAACAGTCTACAGACGTTTTGAGAATGAAGTTAGTGAGGGATGGACGAAATATATTTCTTGACTGACAAGCGCAACAAGTCAGCAGTGTAACAGAATACTCTCTGGATGTGTTCTTGCTCGTGGTCTCCATCATCAATTCTGACTTTGAATGGGAGGTCCACCACTCAACCATTTGCAGTATGTTGCGCTTAACCTTGACTATGACCAATCCAGGAAAACTGAATGGTCCCTCTGAGCATTTCCTTTGTGTAAAATTTCATCTCATCGATGGAATAAAGTAAACACCTTTGTCACACCAGAATCTCCATTACAATAACTCGAAGGTTACTGACAAGGTGAGCTGTGTATTTACCAAGACAACTTCATAGATTATTTAAAGCGGTTACATTGGCGACGCAGACAAAAAACAGATTGTGATGTTTGTCATCGCACATCTCAGCGAAAGGAGCATCAGAGTAAAAAGCAAGGAAGCCGCGCCAAAAAGGTGTAAGAACTGTCAATCACTGTCATATCAAATGTTCACCTTTGTTAAGTCCCGCCCCTGTTCTTTTTTCAAATACGCTCATCCGAAAAGGCGCCATAACTGCACTGGTGCCACACGGACATGCGCATTTTAAGCTTGACGCACGCATATACTTTCGGCAAATCACGACACCCTATTGGTTGAAGAGACAAGACAACGCGGACGTGCATCCTGTCAAGGAGTGTTATGTCTTTGGAGCAGTGTCTTCTAAATTCTACTCGCTGAACTACACTATTAGTGTCCCTTTTTATCCCCCTTACAATCATAGACTCATACATAATGCAATGTACGCCGACTCCCAGCATTAGATGCATTCGTGCTACTTGTCACTTTTATGTACGAGCGCTAAGCTTAGCTTATTACGATGGATCAGTCCGGCAAAGCCACTCCGTGTACATAGATCAACCTCGTTTCTAAGCCCACCAAACACCAAATCCCCCTCACTGTTGCATCTTAGAGTCCTCTGTGCTTGCGGAACGGGATGATCTCTGGCTTTACGAAAGACAATACCACGAGAAACGTGGAAGGTCAAATGAATAAGTCAGTGAGTGGTTACGGACCATTAAGACGCTCTCGTTAAGGCAACCGAATGGGTTTGCCACCAGTTTCATGATAACGTATCGTTACTGCTGGTATGCACTGAATAACAAATAAACCACGATGACATCATTTGGTCGAAGCAGATGCATGTACAATTTGTACATACAACTCCAGCATTAGTATGCCTGTTAAACTGACATAAAAACTTGCTTCTTCTTCTTTTTCTATTTTTCCTTCTTTTTTAAGCAGTATGTTTTAAGGTATGTTCGACTTGCTTCCACGATTTACATGACTTTAAACTCAGCCCCACCATTTGACACAGCACACGTGCCAGGCCAGGGTTGTTCCTTGTAAGGTAATCCAACGCAACCTAATGTGTTACTAGTGCAGCGCTACAAAGCACTCAATTACGAGTATACTCTTTATGTAATCATGTATCAATGTCATTTCAAGTATTTTTTTTCTCGAAGCAGAAGAACTCATCAAGTGTCGATCAATACCGTTTAAGTTCTCGTCTTACTTCCACGACAGTTGAAAAACGCTTTTAAGTTGTTTTGAAACTTGTATACTGACTGCTTTAATGTGTGGGCCTATTCTTTTATTCTATTTGTCTGAACATTAACACTTCCGTGGGTGCGTGACAAGCGCGCACGTAATTAATTATTAATCAATATTGATTGAGATACTGCAACTTCCTATTTCAGAACTTTGGCTAATTTATATGTATAACGTTTACGAAATTCAGTATCAGAAGACCATGCCCCATTCTTCTATTAAACATAACCTTCAGTCTTAATCTCAAATTATGAAAAGTTTCCGTAGTTGGCGAGCGCGAAGGAGACTTTTTCATACGACATTCAGTTATGCATGTATTTATCCTTGATTGTACCTCAGGTTTTACAGGTTTTCCTGTATTGATACAATTCTGCTTATCATTGCAAGAGCAACTGTTTTGCAGCGTTCTGTTCATTCGAAGCGAATTTGACAAAAGAAAATATTTTGCAAATTCATCACAGGACGTCACATTTTCGCGTTTCTGCTCCCTATCACGGCAGGTATGTAACGGCCTTCAGTGGCATCCTCCACACCACTTACTAATGTCAAATGAAATTAAAATGGTTTGTTTTCTGTTCGTTTTCTCTGTCCACTTTTCACAAAACTAACGCAAACAAAATACTCTAAAGGTCGTATTCTCTTAGATTAAATATCGTGTCACAATTTTATTGTTTCTGTCGAAAGCCACTTGCTACGATGCTGACATTCTGCAGACGCATATGTCTAATACAGCCGTTTCACAATAGTACGCCACCAAGAGTTTGCAACGCGTTGGCCAATCACAATGCGCGAAATTTGTCTTTCGTGCGTTATGATTGGCCAACGTGTTGCGAACGCTTGGTGGTGCACTATTGTGAATCGCCCGTATTGCCAATGCTCTCTAATGAAATACAGCCCAGTTTCCATATAGTCGAATAAAGAATCATCGACAGCACGCAAAAATGATGCCAAGACGCATAAAATCGTGGAAGAAACGACGTGAGACGTCATTCGACATATACTGAAAACAAAATGGCTTCCGAAACTCTTGCACGAAATTTCTCTTGACTGAACCATTTAAACGGTACTTCAGTTCAGTGCATTTTGTTTGTGGTGGGAAATCGTACACAAGGGAGCGCGTCTGCATGCATGACTACACTGACAACTCGACGCAGTCACCCAAGTTGCAAATGATCCGCACAGTTGAACATAATCTAACTTTGCCGACAATCTTGCGTTTGCGTCAGTTGTGTGTCATCGGGGACCCTTGAGGCAATACTATTTTGTGTTTCTTTACGTCATTGTGGAAACTACGCCTCAATGATCCAAGTTCGGTGTTCCAACGCTTATCACGATTTAATCTTGTACACCGCGGGAAAAACACAGTAGAGAATATCCCCCTTATCCTGAGGGTGATGACATCTGTATCTCCAATCTCCATTTTAATGGAATCTCAATTAGTATGTAATCAAATAAGTAAGGGATTGGAAACTCGTAGCTTGCACAAGCACTATGCGTTTAGTTTGACTTGCAATATTGTGCCATCCCCGAAGAGATACCTACTGAAAAAATGTGTCCAACAGATGCCACCACTGAACTGTTTCCGATTTGTCTGGCAGACTTCATATTCCAGCACAGTATGTGTCCGTGGGGTCACACCGTCTACAGCGGCACCGCAGGGCGTTGAAGTAAGAGTAGGTCCGGTTAACGCCCGGCTCACATCCCACCAGCTCTACGTTCTGCCACTCGACCTCTTCGTACGAGCACATCTTGTGATGCGACACTTTGTGCGGTGGGAGTAACATCGGCACCTGGAATTGATCGGACATAGGGCCTACAAGTTCGGGTTCAGGGCAGCGCGAAGGTAGATACACGAGGTCCATGCCAGACTTACATTAATTTGCTCCCATTTCTAATGTACTCTGACATAAATCGATAAATCCGGTTGCTATTGTATCCTGGCAGTTTACCAAATTGCCTCACTGTTTTTCGATTTTAGGGATGGCCTCAAGAAGTCCATGTTTCTTTTTGCTACATTTTTTTCACTTGCACAATGAATTCTGACGCCTTACCTAACCACTGATATCGAGTGTTTTCGAGGCAATTTTGAATTATAGGGCCCTCAAAGGGACATTAAAAAAGTAGGTCGTGAAACAAAATTCGCTTCCTTTTGATATACCTTTACGTCTCCTCAGGACCTCCACACTGGACCGAAATGGTTTTATCATTCTCTTTCCCTTTACAAATGTCTCCAAAGTCAAAATATTACGTGACAAATCTTTTGCATCTCACCTCGTACGTCTGACACTGACCGAAGCACCCCCTAACGGGTATGACCTGGGGTCGACATCCTGGCACTTCCACCTGGTGCTCCAAATATTCCCGAATCCGGCATCCACCGTTAGAACCCCGTCTCGGCCGGGTGGGTCTATCCCGATCCCTTGGGGACTGAAGCCCACCGGCCGTGCTGAGGACGAAGGTCGCAGTCACCAAGTGAAGGAGTAACACGGCACTCCAATTAACAGGCATGATGAGACGCCGGTACCTTTAGACGGGGCTGTGAAAAGATGTTAAAATTGTATGAGTTTGTGCTCACAAGGATGCAAACAACTTGACCCCTTTCTCCTTCTATTCTCCTGCAAGGAGAATAGAATTTCCAACATTCCATCACACCAGAGGACCATGCAATGGTCCTCTGGTGTGATGGAATGTTGGAAATAAAGGAAAAACAAACAACAGTGTATGTACAACATAATCGTCTACGCTTTCGATAGGAAAAAGTATAAAGGAAATATGTAGCTTACCTGGCCGTTGTGTAAGTTCCGGATGTAAAGCAACAAATCCACTCCAATGTAAAATAGACCCCTTTCCGAGGCAGTTTACGCCGTTTCGCTGCTGTGAGAGTACAGTTAGACTGTTTTTCACAAGATCGCGGCTCTGAATGCTTGAGCCACGATTTAGACAGGCGGGAAGTTTTGTAACAGAAGTGAGTAGGCGGTAGCGGTTTGGGTTGATGTATGTGAAATTGCAGCGGATAATGCGACAACGGGCAGGCGGTCCCACGCGGCTTTCAACGCACGAGTCGAAGGCTCTGCGATTTGATCTACCCTTCAGGCGGGGGCTAGGCCAGCCAAACTTATAGATGGTCAAAGTAAGATAGAACGGTGTCCATGGGGATCTCCGTGAATAATTTTAGAGACTGTAACACGAGAGATATAACGATTCATCAACTTCCGCAGGATTGAAATGCACTGTCCGTATCAACAGCGAGTATAGGGCTTGCATGTATATGGAAAGATACTGCAATGAGCTTGGAAAAGTCCTTTCACTTTTCAAGAGCTCCAAGTGATTATAGCTGAAGAGGGCAGCGCCGTAGGGGTGTTTTACGCGCGTCATTTGGCAATTCCTCGCGCGGACAGACGATCGTTTGCGCTTGGTGTGACCATGTGGTCTCCAAACGAGCGTGCAATATTCGGGGCGGCACTGGATGACGCATCACCGTGCACTCTACGTTCGAACTTCAGTGCAACAGTAGATCAGCTATATTCTGGCTGTTGTCTGCAAAAAGATCGGGTCGAAAAGGTTGAAAAGTATGAGAACGTAAGAAAAGCCTGCAAATTATCATTTACACGATACACTCCAAATAATTGGAGTATTTTTGGCCAGATTTGTGCCCAACACTGGTGCGTAATAACAGTTTTAAAATGCGCTTGTGATGAAGAACATTTTGTTATAATTTTAGGTCTATGCTTTCCTCCATATATTGGTTTAATATTCTTGTCATTTTGATTAACCGCATGTTAAAATTATTTGCTAAAACTAAATACACATTACTCAATATCGTCTGGTGTGTGATGGGGTTTATTATAAAAATAGAAAGAGTTTACTGGACTTTTTAAATTTATTCAATTTGAGCTTCGCCTACACTGCTACGTTACTCATTCGCTTCCTACTTAGTAACAAGAGAAAGTCAACTATCGTGCGTTGTTCCTGATGCCTAAATTAAGTCTGTTTTTCTTTTGTTTGAGCATTTACAAAAAGCCCAACGTTCCACGTAAAGTTTAATGGCGAAATTGTTTTTGATAATTTTTGGTTTGCCGTTGCCATATCGAAGCAAACTGGTGCTTTGTATGTTTCGGGCGACAGTGCAGTAGAAAGACGCCAAAGCTTAGGTTCCGTTCAGTTGCAAACATGATTATCCAGTCCTTTCGATAATGCAGCGCGGTGTCGTAAAAAAACGTTTTGTTAGAACTAACGCAAAACTCGGGCAGAAAAAGAGTGATAAAATATAGCGACCATACGCATTGTTGGAGAAAATAATGAGTGAAGGCTTGAGAAACTGAAGCTTCATAGGGTGTGATTGAAGTTTCATAGGGTGTGATCGAAGCTTCATAGGATTGTTTCTCCCTTTCCTTTCTACACTACTTTTTTTCAAATTAAGGAGTCTCTTGAAAGAACTGCGTCCCTGGCGAAGTAACCCCGAATTCACCCGAGGTCAGTTAAATCCAAATAACATATCTTTCAAGGGCAAGCAAATTCAGATCCAAAGGCACGTGAAGATGCCACTTCAACTCGGTTTTCGTCACAAAGCCCTCCACATTTGTCTGCTTTATTCTTGCGTGTCATTGTAGGTGCCCTAACTGAAAGGCTTTGTGTACCCTTACTCTGAATGAAGTCGGACGTTGCAGGCCAGTAGGCTTAAGTAGGTCAAAATTTACTTGCGTGGACTGACTCACGATTTATAGGCTGTTTTCAGTTATTTCCTATTAGAGCATTTCGTGGCACGCGGTCTGCTGGGTGGTTTGTTCAAGAGGGTACACTCTAGGAGTTGGGGTATTTCTGAAAGTATCAGACCTAACGGGGCCCTCCAAATCGCTCAATTTGGCAATGGAGTGTGGGCATCAATATTTTTCAAAATGGCCATGGGCCTCATGACTGTTTTGAGGGGTGGTTTTCTCTGGAGAGAAATATTTTCGGAAGTCATAGGTAAGGCTACTGAAAATAAAAATGGAAATAAAAGATGGGGAAGTAAGATTTAATATGACATGAGTCTTGAACACCTGAGAAACTTATATTCTTCCTGATTGTTTTAAGTGGGAATATTTATCACTGTTGTCTATGGCAGCTTATTTACTGATCTGTACCCCAAAATTTTACGTCCAGTTTATCTGTAATAGCGCCATCTTTTGATATGAAAAGACTGGTCGTCTTTTCCCACGCGCGTCCCAGGCCCCACTCGAGCAAGTCTAGTTTTCTGGCAAGCTTTGGCTGTATCGCAGCTGTTTTTTCTTACGTTCTGTTATCAAAGCTTGTATATAATTAAACTTTTCAGTATAATTTTGTAAAGCCTATAAGTTTGTAGGCTTTGGACACCAGTGCATTTCGGTCGGATACCGGCAGCTCCTTCGTTTAAGCCTTCGTTCGTGTCACCTGATCTATCAGTGAAGAAATTACGCAGGTATTAGCCAGATTTGCGTTTCTGTTGTCCAGGCATGTTGCTTGCCGATGCGTGCTTAGTGCATGGCCGAAATTAGTTGGGGGGGAGTGAGCTCTCTTGGCTTGCATTTTTGCCTTACATTTTGAAAACTCCGTCCCATTTCCGGGACGGACATCTAGCTTTCAGGAAACGGGGGGGGGGGTGATGCGCGTACTGCAGGGACGCCCTGCTAAGGGGATTCACCGGAAATCGATGTAATTGTTCAACAATAGATGGATAGATGGACAGCGTAATCCTCCTCCGGGATTTTTTTACAATTATTTATTTTAGTAGGCCTACTTATTTTCCGTCATTTCACCGGTAGTTCCATGTAGTCCGGGGGGGCCTCCTATTGATCCACCTCTGCATTCCAGGTGCAACCTGCCACCAGCTACCTCAGGGGCGCGGCAATGCTTTCCCAAGCAAGAATTCCGAGGCTCGCCTATAAGCACCGGCTGGGTAAAAAGTATTATTTGCAACTCAATAAAAAAACTGTCGACAAGCTAAAGAAGCCCCTCTTTGAGTTAGCCTTTAAAAAAACCTTGCTCGTGCAAGACAATTTTAACCCTCCATGAATTCTCTCCACATAACTTGCATCAAAACGCAATAGACCCTACCGAGGGATAAAAAAAACAATTAAACAAACAAACAAAAACATTCCGTTTGCTCTTTCTATAAAACTGAATTTAAAGACTCAATTTGTGGCATTTGGTCACATTTCTGTGGAGACCTCTATTCCAAGACGTAAATGGCTTGTATCAGCTAGTCCGGTTGTGTCTGAATTATAGGACTGCGGCTTGAAACAGCAACGGGTCTATGGAAGCCACTGGTCAGTCAGCAGTTGTGAAGACTTGACTGTAGCAAAGTGATCTTCGGCATGGCGGGCTTGGCTGTTGGCAGCTCTGGCTATTGGCAGAGCTGTGTATAGAGAGAGTAACGCCAACTTCAGACTTTGGAATCAAATGGCTGTTCATCATGTTTGCAGAAAGAATGCATCTATATTGTGTCTGTAGCGCCGTCCCTAGACATAAAACACTGTCTCCATCCAATGGAAGTCAGAAATAGAGTGGATTCCCACAGCATTTTCCCCTGAATTCTGCTGGCAATGAAACACGTTGTCTCTTCCTTGGAGTACAAGAATCCTGGGCACCCGTCAGCCACTCCGCCCCCAACAGATTTCCTTGCCACGCACACGTAGGCAGTAAGTGGGTCACAGTTTTTCATGCTACACTGCGTTTGTGCTAAGGATGAAGGTCGGTCAAACAGCAAGGGAGGAAGAAGGAACAACCTCGCCCCCGAAGCATTGTGATGCTCGCAACCAAAAGCTGCACTCGCCAAATTGCAATTTGCCTACCTTTCCAAATACTTCCGGTGCATGTCGTCCATTGAATTGGGCGAACCGGTGGTTTATAATCGTAGACTACCTAGAATCCTAAGAAAAGAGGCGAAACATATCAACAAGACCGAATTTATAGCCACTCTGTCCCCGAGCGTAGGCTGCTCTCGGAGGAGGAAATACACGAAGAACACAGTCTGACATAGTTTAGGCCAGTCCGTACTTTCAAATGTCGGCCATTTTACTCATATAACGTCCATTTTATAAATATCAATGCCTGTGGTATTGTGATTAGTCCAGTAAGAAACATTGTGTGTAATGGCGCAGAGCACCTGAACAACGTACCAAGAGACCTGTTCACTAATAAATTCTAATTTATGTGTGCATGCGCATAAATAGCATGTGGAGGCAAAAAGCTTGAACGGCCTATTGAAAATGTACAGGGGCACAAATTTCAACGTCATTTTATTTCAGCCTCTGCACTGTTTTCACTTTAGTCTTAGAAAAAACCCTCATTATAGCTATTACTTTCGGGTCAAAACAGGATTTTTACACTGCACTTAATTTAAAAAAAATAGTCTCTGCTTTCTCCCCAAGTGTAAGTGGTCGAAAGAAATTAACCGGATAGGACTCTTTTCTGACCAGTTCTGTACTTCAAGGTACTAGGCATCACTCATACAAAGCTGAATCGTGTGCTGAACACAGGGTGATCGGTGAATTGCGGTCTAGCTTCAGATGGTTTGGGTTTGTTTCGGCATAATGTTGTCGTGGATGGTACCTTAACGTATCGTACGATTTGTTTTATAACTCGCCAAGAACGGAACCCTACTGATTTCCTTCCTGTACATTTCCAACGGGCTGCTTAAGCTTTTGCCTCCACATGCCATTTATGTGCATGCGCACATAAATATTAGAATCAATCATCAACTAACAAATGTTGATGAATTGGTCTAGTGAGGGTTGAACTGGCGTATCGGGCTTGTCTTAAAAACAGTACGCGACGTCGGTGTCTTCTGTGCTCTCTGTGTCCATTCAAGTGGACGAGCACCACCTGAAAGGGTTGACGGAGAATGAACTGTTGCGCCGAATGTCGTATTTACCCACGAGGTGGGAATCCGCTCAGTTTCCACTTACGACCTTCAATTATGGCATCTCACGGGAAGGATCCAAGGCACGACGAGCACACGCTCAACCATGCTAGTCAGTCAGCCAAATTAAGCATACTGCTGATTGGCCACAACAAGTGACGGTTGTACCTTAAAAAAAACCGCTCAGGTTTCTAAACAGCGGGTTCATCGTGCTATCACGTGGCTTATTCCTTTCATTGTAAACAGTCTCGTAGAGGAAACTCATGTGGTCGATATTTGTAGCCGCGTAAGGGTATCCGTACCGCGCGCTGTGTAATGAAATGAACGCGTTGGTGAAATGAACAACTGACGAACCTTTCGTTGTTAAGAGTTTGCCGATGAAAATTACTTGTTAATACTGGATAAATTTGTCATC